AGAGCTAAATTGTAATCCAAATACAGCTTTTTGAAAATGAAATAAATTCTCCTTTAATTTTGTTTTGATTTACACCATAGCACTTTCCTTTTTTGCAGTTAGGACTGAGAGCTTGAAACCTGTGGAGAAAATGATCCTTATAACAATTAAAGCCAGATAATACCTAGGATCTCATCTTTCTGAAAGACTCCTCTCACAAGATCTCTAGCCTGACTTTACATGTCTGGAGGATCCAAAGAAACATCTGAAGTGTTGGATTCCTGTTAGAATTTGACTTCCAAATTATTAAAAGTTAGCCTATCTCTGGGTTCAGTTTCAAGTCATTATTGCTGGAGGACTTCATTATAAAGGCAGCATTAAAGTTTCTCTCATACTCTGACCAAAAGGGACATGGCCTGACCTGTGAGCTGCTCTTATGGAACTGAAGTTGCTAAGGCTTAATACTATTAAATTCATAGCATCTTTCCTCTGAGTCACGAGCTATTGAAGGCAGAATGCAATACGAAGTGAAGGCAGCAAAGAAAACACATTTACGTAGTCACCTTTAAAATGAAAAATTAGCAGCACCACTGAGAAACAAGAAAGGGTGAGAGAGGGGATAAAGCCACAATATCCAACAGAAACAGCAAGAGAGCTCATGAGAATTTGATTCGTCTGATTTTCAGTTCTTTTACTTGGGCTTTAAGGGTTAGCACCTTTTTTCTTACCCTAAAAAAACTCTTCCTGAACCACCCAAAAAAATACATATGGGATAATGAAACTCAGCAGCTGAAAAAAAGATTTGTAGGTGTGTAGATTTATACTTCCTCACTCCTTTTCCTTCTAGCTCATGACAGAAAAGAGAACCTACTTCCTGACAGCAGACTCTCCCAACATCCTGGAGGAATGGATTCATGTCCTACAGAGTATCCTGAGAGTGCAAGTGACTAGTCCTGTTGATGTTCCTCATAGTGATACTAAACCTACTGTAAAAGGTTGGCTCACCAAGGTAAAATACTATTTCTTACTTTATTCATTTTAGCTCAGTATTGACAGTGTACCAGCTTCTTGGTTTGCACAATAAATGTCAGCAAGGAATTAGTATTTTAATGCTCCCTAGAAGAGTGAGGAAAGACAGAAAAGTGGCGGTAGATTTCTGTATTTGAGAGAGAAGAACATTTGTATAAGTGATAAGGAATGGGACAGACAAGGCTACTGAGAGATACTGACTTTGTCAAATACTAAAAACAAATATGTAGCTTATGTATGCTTTTCTTCAACCGAATTCACAGAATGTCATAGTAGTAAAAAAACCAAACAACAAACCAAACAAGAAATGCTGTTAAATGTCATATTTAATTGATCTTAACTTGGTGATGTAGGAGAGTTTCAAAGAAATGGCTTGTTCTAGGTTAGCATTTGTTTCCATCATAACATACTGCAAGCACATTAGTACAAAGTACAATGGCTGAAAAATCTTGTGCTTTATGCCATTTTCATAGATTAGTTTTGCATAGCAAGTTACTATGAATTTTTTAATATAATTCTGGTCAGCATCTAAAGATGGCTGAAGACAACTTGCATCTGAAACTTGTTCATCTGCAATAGGAAACAGCTCCCTAAACTACGTGTTGACTGGTCTTTTCCTCCTGAGATGAAATTATTTGTTTTTATAATCTTAAAAATGTTATTCTTAATAATGTATTTCTGGATACAGAAATGATGGCTTGTTATGAATGAGTAAAATACTTCACAAAATCTTAGACCCATTTCCATAAGCACCTACATCCCATCTAGTTAGGTGGGATGTACTTACCTGCTTTTCGAATTGGTGCCCTACATATTTTGAGAGGAGCTCATATTAGCATAGAACAAATAATATATGCAAGCTTTTAAGGGAGAGTTGAATTGAAAGTTGAAATCCTAGAAAATCATTCCAGCAACACTGCTGATGTTAAAACTATATATTTCTTTGTCCTCCTTACAGGTCAAGCATGGTCACTCTAAGCTGGTCTGGTGTGCACTGATTGGAAAAACTTTCTACTACTATCGAAATCATGAAGATAAGGTAATTCTTTTTCCCCTTTTATTCCTGAACCCTCCTTTCCCATTTCTCATGAAACTTTCTTTCCTTTTACTACTTCTGTGTCTCACACTTCAAGCATTTCCTTGGTTGTACTTCTCCTCTTCTAACAGTATCTGCTCCACAAGGAGAATCAATATTTTCTCTGAGGTTTTGTTTGGTTTTTTTTAAAAGCTAAAATGACAAAAGACTTAAAAGGTGAGCGACTGCTCTTTCTCAGATCACTGTATATCTTGTTTCTTGCTTTCTCCATTTGGTCTTGTGAAGCCTTTAGAGCAGACTTTTATATAGCAGCGGATATATTCTGCATACTCTCATGAAAATTAAGTAGCAACAACAATATGGGAAGAGGGAGAACATTTAATCAGTGTAATGCGCTTCCATTTCTGGAAGCTTGGCCCAATGGTCTGTTGCTTTGTCTTGGTGATGTTGAAACCCAAGTTTTAGAATATCAAGGGATACTGTGACTCATACTTGGAACTGACCTCCAGAGTTAGCACAGCAGACATCCTCTGTTTGTCTGAATCTCCCTATTTATGTAACTTTAAAAGTACTTATTTTCCAGTAGCAAGCAGAAAGTCTGACCAGGATCAAAAAACAGTGGCTCAAGATACTGAGCAACTGACTGTCAGAAAACACATCCTGCCTTGCAGAACCAATGATATAAACACAACTGACAAGTGTAATGGGAAGAAAACAGTACCTTATGGGAAAGACCATCTTTTTATTTGCATATTCTCATTGCAACATGTAGATGCTCTCCCAAGAAAAATAATAGAAGTATAACACAGTTTGTAAGTACTTCAGTCGATCATAGAATCATAGAATCATTATGATTGGAAGAGACCTCAAAGATCATCGAGTCCAACTGTCTACCTGCCACCATGCCTGCTAAACCCACTAAGCCATATCCTGAAGCGCCACATCTAGATGTTTTTTGAA